TACGTCATTTTTCTCTGCCACTGTTCAACCGGTGGCTGGGCATTACCTCATTTTTCTCTACCACTGTTCAACCGGTGGCTGAGCATTAAGTCATTTTTTCTCTACCACTGTTCAACCGGTGGCTGGGCATTACGTCATTTTCTCTACCACCGTTCAACCGGTGGGTGGGCATTACGTCATTTTTTCTCTACCACCGTTCAACCGGTGGGTGGGCATAAAGTCATTTTTTCTCTACCACTGTTCAACCGGTGGCTGGGCATTACGTCATTTTTCTCTACCACCGTTCAACCGGTGGCTGGGCATTACGTCATTTTTTCTCTACCACTGTTCAACCGGTGGCTGGGCATTATGTCATTTTCTCTACCACCGTTCAACCGGTGGCTGGGCATTAAGTCATTTTTCTCTACCATTTTTCAACCGGTGGCTGAGCATTAAGTCATTTTTCTCTACCACCGTTCAACCGGTGAATGGGCATTACGTCATTTTTCTCTACCACTGATCAACCGGTAGCGGGACATTACGTCATTTTTCTCTGCCACCGTTCAACCGGTGTCTGGGCATTACGTTAATTGGATGACACGATTTAATTATATTTTCATAAAAAATTAAATTATTTTTTTTCAGATATTTTTTTTTAAAGAAAAAGAGAAAATATTCTTTTTTTATTCAAAACAAATTATTTTTTTATTAAAAACAAATTATTCTTTTTTTTTATTAAAAACAAATTACACATAAAAAAGAAAAACACTTCATAGTAAAACTTCTAAAAACAAAAAAGTACTAAAGTGATTTTTTCCAAGTCAAAAGTCGTTGAAGTCATAGGTCATAGGTCATAATCACAGAGATCAAAAGTTTCGAATGATGTAACAGTACATTTTTGAACCAATTATTTTACGCTGGCAATGTTTTTAAATACGTCAGAAAGAGAAAAACATGCTGAATGTGGATAAAACATTATGATCAGAGTTTGGTCTAATTAAAAAAATGAACGAACTAAAGGATTCAACAACTGTCGAATGCATTGATACAAATACGAAGAAATGAGGACAAGTACGCATAAAAAGTTTTAGGTAAATGTTTTTTAGGGCGGGGGAAAAAGGTGGACATGCCATTAAATGAAAATTGACAAACTGTCAAATCTTTCCTTTAACCAGTTTCTATCGCCAGCAAACGTTGTGTTACTTCCACGGAGTCGAATCAGCCTCATTTCCTCTCTAGTCCAAAAGTAAGAAGAAATTACGACTTAGAGATATTTTTATGATTAACTTTTGTGGAACAGACTCCTGTCTGGGTGCTTCCCTAAACATTTAAATCCTGAACTCATTAAATCAAGGCTCAAATTTTATCTATTCTGTTGATTCTCGTAAACTATACTTTCTAACATGTTCTCTTGCATTCATATTACACACGTCATTCAGCATTATAATTTTGATTCGAACTCTCTACTTAGATTGGCTCTCGAGCCTTCTAGCGGATGGAATTTAGTTAAAGACATCATTCTTGCGGTAAAATATTTCAGGTTTTGGTTAGTTTAATAGAAAAAAATGGAAGTCTTTCATTGCCTCTAGTATTTCAGAATTTCTCAATATTTGAACAGATTAACTTTAGTCTTGTCCAGTGTGTCTTGTGCTTTTTGAGATTCACTATTAGTAAAAGAATTTTCTATTTCGATCCTCTTCTTCTTCTTCTTCTTCTACTCCCTCTCCTCCTTTTCTTCTTCTTCTCCTCTTCCACCTTGTACTTCTTCTTTTTCTTGTTGTTCTTTCTTTCTTTCTTTCTTTCTTTCTTCTTCTTCTTCTTCTTCTTCTTCTTCTTCTTCTTGTTAGCGGTCATCTTTTCACTGATATATGCGTCATACAACTGTGTGAGAGTCACCTTACCATGCAGCATTATCAATATTTTTGTGACACTATTTAGGTTGCTAGAAAGAAAGAAGAAGAAAAAAAAAAAAAGAAAAAGGCGAGAATTAAATTTAGGTGATAAGAAGCCATCACGAACAGGACACTAAGCGATCTTATTTTTCTAACAAAGAAAAGTGGTAAAATTTTATTTTCATTATCGAGAAAGTAAGATACTGGATTTAATCTGATTTATGTTACGGGGCGGCGAATAACATATAGCCAATCTGCCCATGGCAATGGTGAAAATTCCAGGTTGGTCAAATGACCTACGAAACAGAAACTGAGAGATAATATTAATTAGGTCATGCACTGGCTCGCTGAAAAAATGGCCGTTGGACCACCATGAAGGAAAGATTAAGCCTTTGACTATCTGCAGAATATCATTGAGAGGAAGATCTGTTTTGTGTCGGAGCTGGCTATGATAAGAAAATTATTTTATCGGGACGAATAATTGGATGTGGGTCGCCAGATGACCACCCACTTGATAATTGGCGAAAATCTCGTTGACGAATTCCATATGAAATTCGGTTAAGATAAGAGTCTAAGGACTTGTTGTCGGGCAGAAGAAAGGAAAGAATGGAAGAAAAGAAAAAGGAAGATATTTTTTTTTTCTTTGAGCGAAATTTTTTAAACCGAGGCTAGTCTAGCCACACCCACGCCGCTGAGCGCCCATTGGCTGAATGGTGGCGTGAGCGTTAGGCGGAGGTAATCATGTGAAGAAGGAGGGGAGGCCTGTTGACGCCCCCCCAGAAGAGATCGGTGTGAGATGCCACTGTGAGAGAGAGGCGAAACCCGTTGACACCCTCTGAGGGTATGATGAGATACCAATATGAGAACAGAAGAAGGTGGGAGGACGAAAGACTTCCAAAAATGGAAAATAATAAATTTTCCTGGCCGAAAACAAAGAAGTGGATTGTGGATTTAGAATTATCAAGGAACCTCAAGCCCCGATAAGCCCACCCCAGTTTTGGTCGGCGTCCATATAAGCAGAGTCGCAGTGAGTGAAAGGCAGTTAAGTTCAGTTGAGTTAAGTTCGCAGTTCGCAGTTCGCAGCTGAGTTGAATTGAGTTGGGCACGCCTCGCAGGAACCCGACTGAAATATTCCACGCAAATCACGACCTCAACTTCTAACCAAGAACAATTTATTTTTGAAGAACGACTTAGACTCACACCACCAAAACAAGTTTTACGAATATCGCCTGAAGATACACCAAGAATTAGTTTCTTAAAGAACAAACAACTTAAGATGTTAAGACTCGCCTAACAAACACAAAGTTTCACGAATCCATATAGCGGGTTGGGAAGAAGACGTAGTCCTGTATTCAGCAACCAGATATAAAATATTGTTATCCTTTTTAACACATTTGAACTTTTCGAGTTATTTTCTTTTCTTTTACATATACTTGTGCGGTGTTGCCCTTGTCCGGACTCAGCTTGCATTACGGCCCGGCGACTGATTGATTTCGTCTACCTAAGATCAAATCACAACGTGGGTAGGTTAGACTAGAAATCAAAACAGTTATTTCGGTAACCAGACGTTGGAGGCGAGCTGGGAACGACAAGGCTGATACCGAATCTAACCAGATTCCCATCCAAATCAGCAAAAGGTTAGAACGTCACATTTGGTGCCGCGACCAATACCAAGTCACATTGGCCGTCACAAGACAGGATAGGACGGCGATGGCGCGGAGACAGATGGGGTGACGTCACAATTGGCGCCGCGACTAGGACAGCACGACGGATGCGGCCAGGCAGACGTCACATTTGGCGCAGCGACACCGGGGGGACGTCACATTTTATCGTATCATCAATAGATAGGGTGTCCTGCTACTATCGATACAACCTCTCTTTATCCTTCTTTCTCCTTCTCCCTCTCTCTCTCTCTCAATCTCTTTCACTCTCCCTTTATCCCGGTCTCTCTCTCTCACACACACACTTTCACTCTCGTTCTCTCTTTCTTAGTTAATAATTTGGCGTAATGATCAGTAAAATAAATCAGGTTATCTTACCGATATTCGGGAATCAGTCGGATTATCTCGTAGAACAAATTGTAATTTAGGACAAAAGCACTGACTTCTTCTTCTTCTTCTTCATCTTCTTCTTCTTCTTCTTCTTCTTCTTCTTCTTCTCCTCCTCCTCCTTCTTTTTTATCCCTCTTCTTCTTTCTCTTTTCCACCACTTCTTCTTCTCCCCTTCTTCCTCCTCTTCCTTCTTGTTCTTTTTCTTCTTCTTTATCCCTCTTCTTTTTCTTTTCCACCTTTTCTTCTTCTTCTTCTTCTTCTTCTTCTTCTTGTTCTTCTTCTTCTTTAACCCTCTTCTTTTTCTTTATCCCTCTTCTTTGTAGCTCTTAGCAATGTTTGACTTTTTATCAGTTTCCCACCATTCTTTTTCTGATTCTAAGTAAAATATCCTTTCCGTTTTCATTTTTTAAAAACTTCCTCGTTGCTCTCAAGTTCCATTCATGGCATTCTCAGGATCCTTCTGTAGAACAACATCTTTGCAGCATCAATTCTCCTCTTCATTTGTGAGGAAATTTTCCAAAATTCACTGCCATGTAGTATTGTACGCTTTCTCCTTATTTCTAACGATATTTTCCTCTTTGTTTAGCTTTTGGATGGCATCTTTCGCTATTCCACTGCTCCTTTGAGTTTCGGTGCCACATATTCCACCGTTTGTTAAAATACCTCAGAAATAGTTAAATACTCTGCTTGCTTGATTTTCACATTTTCAATACTGGCCCACCGTACATTACACTTGAGAGTTTGTCCTTTCTTCTCACTTTTCAATCTTGCCTGCAATTTTCATTATATATCTACCACCAACACAGTGTCATCTACATATCTTATGTTGTTAAAACTGTGCCCACAATAATAAATCCTGCTAAGATTTATAGTTCTCTTAGGATAAATGTTGAATAAATTAATAGTGGCAATTGCTGATATACGTTCCGGCTGTTGGGGTCTTCGCCCTTCATCAGATGCTTGTGGATTCCGGTAAATGTCACGGAATTTAAAACTGGATCTTTTATTTCATCTACGGATGGTGCATTGTTCGCGTGTAGTTCCTAATTTGTAGGGCTCAGTTATCGCTCGGGCCAGATTAAATGATCAACAAAGTAGCTAGATAGATACATACATACATACATACATACATAGATATGAACGGACTGCGATAGATAGATAGATAGATAGATAGATAGATAGATAGATAGATAGATAGATAGATGAACATACTGCGATAGATAGATAGATAGATAGGAACAGACTGAGATAGATAGATAGATAGGAACAGACTGAGATAGATAGATAGATAGATAGATAGATAGATAGACTGATTACGGAACGTCAACTCTTGTGATAATTAATGTCTAAATTTGTAGTAAAACGTTAGTAATGTTCATCTAGTATGTATATGTGTGTGTGTGCGTGATGAAAATATGCTATAAGTATAGATTCATGGTATACTATATTTATTTATGGGTAAAAGCGCTCAATATCGGGTATAAAGCTTGAAGATTGCGTCCAAGCATGAAAGAGATCGTGTTGCCGCTCGGTGTGAGATAAGTATCGATCATGAACGAACAGTCGATAGATGTAAAATACACACGTGACCGCGCATACGTGTTTGAGAGTTTGTGTTGGGGTAGAACTCAATAGATTTCAAAAAGTAAAATCTCCCAAATAAACAACCTTATTTTTCTTTTTTTTTCTTTTTTGACTCCAGGTGTTGTAAAATGGAGCAGGGATGTCGAGCATAATCGAAGTCGACGTGATATAACGTCTGGCGTCTACTGACCTATGACATAAGACTAACGAATACCAAATAGTATTTCAGAAAAAAACAACAACAACAACAACAAAAAACGCATAAGACAAACAATAACAACAAAGAAACAAAAAATAAAATAATTAAAGAAACTGTAGTGTTTTGTTTTTTCTTTTAAATCTATTTTTTATTTGAGAGAGAGTGTATATCGTCATTGTGCTTAGCTGGTGGTCGGTAAATCTACCTGGTGTTGGTAGTAGTGTAACAATACCACCAACCTCGTATAGGCCGTCAATCAGGTCGCAGTCACGCCTTCTCCCCACCCCCCGGTGCACAAGTTGTCGTTGGCGAACTAGTCGACCAGGTCGAAGCACTTGATTGCAAACAAAAGCCTTGCTTGTCAAGGCGACGGGGTGGCTGGTGGAGCTGCGGTGGGGTGGGGACATTTTGTTCATTCTTTTTGCCTGGGTGGTTGTTGTGTTCCAGATATAAGAACGAATGTTTGGCAAGGAGTGAAAGAAAGAAAGAAAGAAAGAAAGAAAGAAAGAAAGAAAGAAAAGGAGAATGCGAAAGAAAAAGAACATCGAAACACAAAGAGAAAGAAATTAGAAAAGAGACCTGAAAAGGAAAAGAAAAGGGGGGGAAAAGAATTTAAATAAAAGATGAAAATAAAAGAAAGGAAAAAGGGGGAGAAGAAATAAAAACAAGACGAAAGAAGAATATGAAAAAAAATTAGGAAAGAAAAAGGGAGAGAAAATTTCATGAAGGAGAAAAAAAGGAAAAATAAAGAATGAAATCAGGAAAATAAAGAGATAGAATAAAAAGAGAAATGAAGAAGAGAAAGAAAGTAGCAAAGGCAATGAAAAGGAATAAGAAAGAAGAATTTAATAGAAGAAGAAAATAAAAGAATGAAAAGAAAAAGAGAAAAATAAAATGAAAAAAAAAACAGAATGAAAGTGAAGAAAAAAAGACAAGATATTTAAAGGAGAAAATAGTGACAAAATTGGACGAAAGAAAAAAAAAAAGAAAGTAAAAGAGAACAAGAAAGAACTGAGAATGAAAAGAAGAAAAAGGACAAAAAATGAAAAAGAAAAGAAGGAAATGAGCAATAATGAGAATAATCTGCAAAAAAAAAAAAAAAATTGAGAAAAAATAAAAAAGAAAGACTGAATGAAAAAGAGAAACAGGAAAAAAAGGACGAATGAAACATTTTAAGCGAAAGAAAAAAAGATGTAAAGAATGAAAACTAAAGAAAGAACAAAAAGATACAAGGGTCAAGCAGAATTAAATGAAGGAAGGAACAAGACAAAAAGAATCAATAAAAAAAAAACTAACAAAAAAATTAAGGTAAGAAAAAGAAAAAGAAAAGAATGTAAAGAAAAAAAAGAAAGAAAAATTAAACAAATAAGAAAGAAAATCCCATAAATAACGAAAGAAAAATTTGAACATGAGGGAATGAAAAATAAAATTCGTCTGCACGATCCCTTATCTGGCAAAAACCTAGTTTAATACAATATAAGGTGATGGAAGAAGATTATGTAGCGTCAGATTTTAAAATATAATTTACCCGGAGGAATAATTCCTTATGCAAGTTTTAACAAGCTAATTTTACAAGTAATTGCTAGTGAGTTTGTACATCACTGTGTTATCCTTGTGCTAGACTTATGTTGTATTTGGAGTTCCACATAGCTGTCTTAGTCAGTTTTTCATCGATTTCTGCGATTCCGCGGATCACCCCCCACCCACAAAAAACATAAGCAATTCGCCTTAATGGTCTCTTACGGTCATTTTCGCACGAATGCAAAGGGGGACATTCTTGAGAACGAGGGTCCATTCTCACAGCTATGGGTTAAATAGTAGGATTGACTGGGCTCCTTAGCCAGTCTAATGGAAGAAAAATTCTGAATTCCAAATTGTGGGGAAGGCAACGGGAAACCGCTCCAGTATCTTTTAATAAAGAAGAGGTATCTGCGGAGAGACATGATCGCTAATATTTTGATGGGATATGGCATTGTTGTAAAAAATGAAATTAAACCTCAAAAGCAGTGACGTTAGGAGTCAGATATACCAAAGAAATATTTCATTTACGTGAAAAAATGTAAATATGACGAAAAATCACAAATTACCTTTTCTAAGATCAACGTTAATAAGAAAATCTTATGTCTACTATAAATCTTGTTATATATCTAAATCATTTTATTGTTATTGCAGTTAATCTTTATTGTGCTGAATTTTAAAATTAAATTTTATCATAAGTATATATGAGAAAACACACACACACACACACACACACACACACACACACACATATATATATATATATATATATATATATATATATATATATATATATTAAAGTGTTATCCGTGATGTCAAGGATCTGTTGAGTATTTGATAATATAATTCCTGCGTATTTAAGGGGATTATTGTACAATAAAAAACAAAAAGATATGAAAACCCATAATTGGCCACGTCCTGTGATGGCATAAAAAGAAATCTGTATAGTAAATTTTATCAGAGATTCGGGTTGGCTTAGCATTTATCAACAGGAATCGAAATTGCAGAACCAAAGATCAAATTCAGGTTACTTCAGACAAATTTCCTGAAAAAAAAAAAAAAAGAAACGAATCCAATTCTTTCTCCGTTCTTTTGAATTGCCAATAATCAAAGGCCTGTTAAACCATGATCACCGTTTGTAGAAATTTCTATATATAAAACAGAGGATGTCTGTGTGTCTGACTCTCTGTCTAAAACCTTTTTACTCTAGATCCATCCAATCGATTTTGACCAAACTTGGCATATACATCGTACAATGTAAGAGATAGATTCTAAGCGTAAAAAATCGATATTTTTTTAAAAAATCAATAAAGCCGTTCAAAAATCGATGAATTCGACTTTTTCCTCCGATTTCGTTCAAGCTCTGTATGTGGGTTACTTACATCATGAAAAGCTCATCGATATGTCATTTTTTCTACGCCACTGTGTTTAGCGAAAAACCGCAACAAACGAAAAATCGATTTCAACACAAATTTTAAACTAAAAACTGCTTCATTTTTCATGCTATCTAATAGAAACTTCACTCAGTTGTAGCCAACAATAAGTTGATTTTTTAAGTCATTTAACTTGATAATTGAGTCAACCCATATCGTGAAAACACGCGTAAATAGCAAAAAAATGGCGATTTTTACTGGTTTCATTCTTATTTTTCGTTAATCTTTCAACCAATTTTCATCAAATTTAACAATTGCTTTATCTTCTTTTACATCCCTGGTAGCACATTGACAAATTGAATTTCAAAAACTCCAAAATAATTGTGGTCTGAAATGTGTCTTCATGTTGTCTGTTTTGCCCCTTCACGTCCTCGGCTAACTTCGAATGAATAAATACAGATTACTTCTGTTATATCAGTAACTGCATTAATTTTAAATGTTTTTTTTTTAATGAAATTACTTTAAAGTAATTGAAGAAGATAGAATCTGCTACATCCAAACTTGATGCTGTTTTTTCTCTATTCTAATTGAACGCTTTTTCTGATCGACCAGCTGGGTATGGCTGCTAGTATTAAATGCATCGAAAGGTAATTTTACTTTTGATGAGTTAAAAACAAACAAAACAACATCGAGAGAGGTTATTTATAGACGAGATTATCCCTCGTTATAGATACTGCGTTCCAGTGGATAAACAAATAAAACTGAGACGAAAATGAATAATTTTTATTAATTTAATATAAATAAGAAACAGTAACGTAAAATATTATCTTAACTGACCATTTTTAAACTTAGCTCAATTGAATTCATTTTTGGCTTACCTCAAAATGATTAGTAACTTTGCTGCAAAAACCGTCCACTGAATCTATGCGTACTGCCTGACTTTAGTCTTTCCGCAAACTGACTCTGTATTTCATCTTGAAGTGTCATATTTTGTAAATATATTACTGAAAATTAGAATTTGCCTCCCAGATGTACAGATTTTCAGGGCGATGTCTGCTTCCAAGTTTCAAGTATCCAATCGAAGTGGTCTATTGAATATGTTAAAAATATTCTACGATACAAATGAATAATACGTTAATGTTAATAAAGATATTTTGTACAGAATAGATTGTATATAATAAGTAATTCGTACTTGGCTTCTTCGTTAAACACGCCACGGCTGCATTCCAGTTCTTGCAGACATTACGTTGATATTAATCGTTTCCTTCTGATAAGTGTTTTATAAACTTATCACTGATATTATCTTCATTATTATTTGTTCATATTCGGATAATGATGGCGTTGGAATAGAAAAAAAAAACAAAGCAGTTCTATACAATCAAAATGGTAAACATAGTTCCAGTTTTCAAGAAACTCGAAAAAAGTATAGTCGGAATAATAATGATAGAGATGTTAAATTTAACATTTCATATTTAAGTAAAGAGGTAAGGGCGACTATAATAGCAACGATGATGTTCACCTCATTTAAACCATTTAATACTATCGACTGAATATGTGATGCAACGAAGAAGTTTTAGAGAAAATAGAGACAAAAAGAAATTTTATTCTTAACATCAAATAATAAGGATAGAGGGCTTGGAAAATTTGATACTCACAGGACAGACTGAAGGCAAGAAAGACAGAAGAAAACAAACAAAATCTAGCGAGGCCGAGTAAATGGATGAAAGAACAAGTTTCAGCAAAGATAACAAAAGGACAAAATTCATTAAGAGCTACAAAGGACAGAAATTGTTGACACAGCACATAGAAAAATATTAAATTAAAAATTCTCAAGAATTTGGAAAATTTTACAAGCACCTTGAATTTTTCTTGGAGTTTTTAAAATTATTTCAATCCGAGTAAGGCAATAAAGCCACTGAAACACAAGGGGTTACTGAGTATGGGAGAATATGAGAAAAGAAAACATTATTAAGAGAAGAGTAAAACAAAAGAACTGGAATTAAACAGACGGAAGTAAAAGATTGAACATTGCATTTATATTTTTGAAGATCAAAATTGACTGGAAAGCAAGAAGCCGAAAGAGAGTTCAACAAGCGAGAAGAAAGTGTTAGCATAGAACCTACGGTTACATTTAACCATTTCAATTGTAAAATTTGGAGACCTAGTCTCCATTCTAGTAGTACACTTAAATTCATAAAGTCCAGAGAGAAATGCTCAACAGAACAATTGCTATCAAAATATTTACAGAAAAGTCACAAGGAAGCTACGTTACGACTATGGGAAAGTGATTGAAACTGAGATACCAGGTCAAGATCAATAATATTGCAGATCGTTCTTTGGGTTTTAACAAGGATCTTAAACTACAAAGCAAAAGAATCAGACCAGTTTCAATCCATGGACAAATAAGTGACTTATAGATAAATTCTGGCTAGACCTAGCAATTGTTTCAATATAATAATTCTACTTCATGTCAGCGGAAAAAAAACAGCCTGAGAAGAGTGACCTCTTAGTCACAGTGGATAAAGGCGTTGGTTAGATCCAGTTACAGGAACCAAACATTTGTGAGTTCAATACTTGGTTAAGGCAGTGGAGAACTTAGAGCGGTGAATTAATAGTAGATAACTGATAGCTGACATCCATTAGACATGGCACAT